TCTGGGAGGGGAGTCCCTGGCCTGCAACCTCGGGCCGCGCCTGAATGCCAGGGCAACAGCCCCTCGGCTCAGGAGGCTGCGAGGAAGGTTAAGTCAGAGCGCCCTACAGAGCTGGCCCACAGCGAACGCTCCATGCCCGCTGGCCAGCCCTCTCATGCGACTAGGGCAGAAACTGCAGAAGTGGCGGGATAATCGCTGATGTCGGGGAGCGCAGACCCCAGGGGCCCGGCCCGGCCCTCACCTATGTAGTATTTCATCTCCGTGTCGTGCTGGTTCATCAGCTCCAACAGCCGCAGCTCGATCTGGGCCTGGTTCAGGAAGGCCTTCTTGTTCTTGATGATCTTGATGGCCACCAGCTCCTGGGTCTGGTGATCATAGGCTTTCACCACCTGCAGACACGGCCCCAAGTGAGGGAAAGGAGGGGTGGGCCAGGCACCACTCCTCTCCCTTCAGCCCAGCAGAGGTGCTGTGCACAAGTCTCACCCAGCGCAGAGCGCTCGCCCAGGCCGGCCCTGGTGGGACCGTCAGACACCAGCGCACACAGCTCCCTGACGTAGAAGGTCCCCTTATTTGCACAATTGTGTAGAAAAGGACCCAAGGCACTGGGAAGCGCCGTGGCTGGGGTAAGTGGCCCGGCGTGGGACCTGAAGTCACTGAACACGAGCTCTGTGGGTCCCAGTCAGTAGGTGCCCACGCCACCAGCCCGAGTGGGGGGTGGCGGCCCTCACCTGGCCGAAGGAGCCCTTGCCAATGAGGGAGTCGATCTCGTAGCGCTCCAGCCAGCGCTCGCCACTGCGCACAATGTAGTCGTGGTTGTCGTCGTCGTAGCCGTGGTTCAGGACCTTCTTTTCCTTCTTGGTGCTCGAGTCCGGCGGGGGCACCTGCTGGGCCCGCCGCTTCTTCTTCGCATAGTATACCTGCCCGGCCGGCAGACGGGGACCGGTGAGTGGCCAGAGGGCGCAGCCTGGACCCCTCAGCACCCAGCTCGGGTCCCCCGACCCTGCCCACCTCATTGATGTGCTTATAGGTTTTGATGAGGTCCACGGAGAGCTTGCGCAGGGGGGCTGAAGTCGCATCCCGGAAGGCCAAGGGCAGCCTCCGTGGTAGTAGCTGCACGTCAGGCAGTACCTGAGGGCAGGGCGAGGGTGGGCACTGAGGACAGGCTCCCACCGACAGCCAGAGGGGGAGGCCTTACCAGCAGCTGGCGCCTCGCCACCACATACATATTTAGCTGGTCACTGTCTGAGTCCCCTACACAAAGTCCCCAAGGGACTCCGCTTTGTTCCTGCCACATTCTTAGTGCCTGCAGCGCGCCTGGCGCATCATGGCTGTTGCTGAGGGATTTGCTGAATGAGTGAATGAACTATTTGCCCCGATCTTTCTTCTTCTTTCATCTGCCAAAACGCCTCTCTGAACCTCATCATATAGGAAACCTGGGGTCGGCCCATCCTTCTGCCTCGGTATCCACCTGGGGCTCCCCATCTTGCCTTCCCCTTCCTCCCTGCAGGCTCCCAGCCTCACCACCCCTACCCTGAGCATCTTTGTCCACTTTCATCACCCCTGCGTCTTCATCTGGACGCAGTGCCCTGGGCCTCCCCCTCCCTCCGACTTCAAGCTCCCCAGTTCAGGACCTGCAGTCTTTACCCTCTACCCCCGGCCCTGCTAGCTTCAAGACCCTTCACCTCAACTCTCCTCCCCTCCCACTCCATGAGACCTACTTCTTAGGGAACATTTGTTGAGTGTTTACGCTGTGCCAGGCAGTTCTCAGCATTTCACTCATTCCTTTAATCCTTACAACAACCCTGTGCGCCTGGCATCACTACTGCCCCATTTCACAGCCTAGAAAACTCAAGTATGGAGAACCCAAGTAACTGAACCACTGGATCAGGATTTGAACCCAGGTTCTCCAAACCCAGGCTGCCAGCAACTCCTCTTAGCTTCCATTCCCAGTGGACCCTTCACCCACCCACTGCTCCCACAACAGACTGTCCCAGGCAACCACACTATCTTTTGGCTCCAAGACCCTTCTACCCCCAACCTCCCCGTGCCCCAGGAAAGCAAGGAGCCAGCTGAACGCATACCTGCGTGTGCTCCTGGGGCCCCGGGAAGCCAGAGAAGGGACCATGGCCCGGTGGAACGGCCATGGTGGGCTCAGAGGGCCGCAGGGGAGTGAGGCCTGGAGCGGGAGCCCGGCCGGGGGGCGCCTTCTCGCATCCTGCACCTCGGCTGCCACCGCCGCTGAGACCTGAGAGCAGGCGGGAGGCAGGGGAACATGAAGGAGGGGACGTGTGGGACAATGCGAGGCAGGACAATGCGAGGTGGACACCGGAGGGCAGGACGCGAGGCGAAAAGGGCAAGAGAGCAACAGAGGCAGTGAAGAGAGGGAGCGGGTGTGCGTCCGGGGAGTGGGGAGCACAGCGGGGTCCAGCAAGTGATTTCCAAATCAGTGAAGTAGGCAGCACAAAAGGAACAAACGGAGGAAGGATTGGGATTCAGGCAGCGATATGTGCCATGACAAGGAGGGACAGACGCCGGTGAGTGGGGGGAGGAAGAGGAGAAAAGACAGCAACCACAGATGGGATGGTATGGGGAACACGCTTCCCCTCCCATTTCTGCCCCAGCCCGCCCCAGGGTCCCATCACGTAAGAGCCCCCTCCCGCGGCCTTCCCTGAGAAGCTGGACCTCGTCCGTGTCACAAGGCCCCCCTCTTTCCAGATCTACCCTTCCCAGTAGGTCCCCAGCCCGGGAAACTCCAGTCCCTCCCAACCACACGAGTCCTCTGGGCCCCTCTGAAGCACAGCAGAGTCTCTGCAGATCTCTGACGCCACATCAGGGTCCTTGGGGACCTCCTGACCACACCAAGGTTATCTGAGAACCCCTGCCTCACACAGTCCTACTCCTACTGCGTTCTCATTCACCAACCAGCGCACCCTTCCCCCTGGCCTCCCCACACCATGCCAAGTTCTCTTACCTAAACACCTCCGCCCAAACAGGGCAGTTCCCTCAAACCATCATCCAGCCCCTCACGCTATTACTCCAAGGTCCTCCCAATCAAGCGCCCTGCTCCTCCTGAAGGGAGCAAGGGGAGGGGTGTCTCTGCTCGGCTTATAGTGGTCTTCCTTCTGTTTCCTACTGGACCCTTCTCCCCTCCCCTGCCACCCAATATTCCTACCAGGGCCCCTTCTCCAGTTATTCCTCACTCTACCAGGGTCACTGGCAACTGTGCCCATTCCTAGAAGGCCCCCAGAGCCAAAGTGCCCGAACATCACACAGAGGTCTCCCCTCCCAGATTAGTACACACAACATCCTCTCCCGACAGGCCTACACCGTCCTCAGATCCCCTTCACCCAAGCCGAATCTAGCTACTTGACAACCCCTCCTTTCTTGGAGATC